GGGTTTGAACCGCCAGCCTTCTGGTTTGCAGTCAAGTGCTTTAGCCACTATGCTACCAGAGCTCCCGACAAGAATATAGAGAAATATTTTGCAACCCTCATACACTACTGGTGTAAATGTAAAATGGATCACCTACTATGGAAGACAGTTTAGTGGTTCCTCAAAAATTTAAAAGTTAACATATGACCCAGCAATTTCACTCTTAAATATATTTCCAAAACTAAACAAACAAAAATATGTACAAACATGTTCATAGCTCATTCATAATAGCCTGAAGATGGAAACAATCCAAATGTCTACCAGCAGATGAATGGACAAGCAGAATGTGGCTCATCCATACAAGGAAATATGCAACCTCCAAAATACATGTTGATGTTGTTGTTGTTATGTGCCCTCAAGTCAGACCCGACTCATAGTGACCCTTCCTTGGGTTTTCAAGGCAGTATCACTATGGAAGTAGATTGCCCTATCTTCCTTGTGGTTGGTAGGTTTGAACCGCCAGCCTTCTGGTTAGCAGTCAAGTGCCTTAGGCACTATGCTACCAGAGCTCCCCCCAAAAAATATATATGGAATGCTAATACAATATGCATGAACCTTGAAAACATCATGCTATGTGAGGGCAGCCAGACACAAATGCCACATATTGTATGAATGGATTTATATGAAATATCCAAAATAGGAAAATTCATAGATAGAAAGCAGACCAGTAGTTGCCAGAGTCTGGGGGCAGCAGGAAATGGGAAATGACATTTTAATGGGTATGGGGTTTCATTTTGGGATGAAAAATTTCTGTAACAGATAATGGTGATAAACCAAACAAACCACCATTGAGTCAATTCTGACTCACAGAGATCCCCTTTGGTTTTCTGAGGTGGTAAATCTTTACAGAAGTAGATTCCCCAGTCTTCTTTCCACAGAGTGGCTGGCTGGTGGGTTTGAACCACTAACTTTCTAGTTAGCAGTCAAAATGCCTTAGACACTACACCACCAGAGCTCCTTGATAATGGTGATAGTTGAACAATATTATGAATGTATTTAATGCCACTGAATTGTACATGTTTAAATAGAATGGTAACATTTATGTGCATTTTATCAGAATAAAAGGAAAATAATTACTCAATTAATGTATTTTTTATATATTTTATATATCCAGTGGAAATAGTGTGAAGAATGAATTAAACTAGACATAATTGTACTTAGATCAAGAACAGCTTTATTAACAAATTACAGACATATAATTAATTTACCTCTGTAGCTTATATTGTTTGCTACAACTTACTTAGTCTTTTCAATCTTAAAAATAATTTTTTCTACCATGTAAAACCTAACCTTCCCTTAGACTTTTTGAAATTATTATATTTTGATCCCTGAGAGTTATAAAAAGGGAGCTGGACTCCAGTGACATCATTTGCCTGATAGCTGGGTCTTAATCCACCTCTGCCCACAAATACTGGTCCATGGCCACCTCCAGGTCCTTCCTGTACAGCTTTTACAAGAGGATAAATATATTTATCTGTTGACTGGGACTCCGATTCAATTACTTCTCTTGCATAATTCTGGAATTCTTTCTCCTTTTCAGTTGTAATAGCTTCACTAAGTCTGTAATAATCTACTTCTGCTTCTTTTGATTGCTTTGCATTAAACTTATTCTTAGCCTATTTGGGAAAGAAAGGAAACACAATTTTCAAATCGGTTTACCAGATCAACATTCTGTAGTATTTAAAGTTGTAGGCACACTTCTGTAAATTTGGTACTTTACAAATTCTGGTTTGACAATTATATATTGTAGTTTATTTCAGAAACTTAGTATCTCAGTATTACCATGCTTAAAGTAGTGACTCAATCAAAATAATATCCTTAAGTGATGCATCTTTAACAAATACAGCAAAATAGTTAAAAACATTTTAACTATTTTTTTAAATAGTTGCCAGGTATTTAGATAAAATCAGATAAGCAAGGTTTGAATCCTGTTTCTACCAATTTTAAAATGTGAACCAATACCAATCATTAGCTCCAACCAATCTACCATTCTAAAGGATATTACTCAATCCCACAGTCCCTGGGTCAGGCCAATACACCATATGACCAAACCACATAAGATTAAATCAGTTAATATCGAAACTAAATTAAACTAATTACATTCTCTTTCTCTCAAGATTTTAAAGTTGGAACAATGAGTGACATTTACCAATGTAAGTTTCCTAGGAATTAGGTGGAATGAGTACTCTAGGCAATCTACCAAATGTCAGTTTATCAAAATTTTATAAACTTTTTTTTAACTGTTTATATTTAACCCAAATTTTTTTTTAACTGTTCACATCAATTTACATTGGATGAAGTAATTTTTAACAGCTTTGGAAGATTATATATAAAGTTTTGGTTGATATTTGTGTTTATATTGCCATTTTAAATAGTTTGTGAAAAAAAAGGGGGGATCTTAAGAGTGATTCTGTCTGCTTATAAATATATTAATATTCATGAAGGTTATTTTTCAACTTAAGTAACCAAAACTTAAACATAAAACAGAACCCAAACCTGATATCAAAACCAAACGCACTGCCATGGAGTCGTTTGCAACTCATAGCAACCCCTCCTTGGGTTTCTGAGGCAGTATCTCTATGGAAGTGGATTACCCAACCTTACTTCTGAGGAGAGGCGTCAATCTACCATAAATTAAGCAACTATATGAATAAGAAATAACAAAATTTTCATTACTGAGCACTACAATATAAAATAGTTAAAAGCATGAAAGGCTTATGTGCTATTTGTCAGATTGGTGATAAAATACTAGTAATCTGAAAAACTAGAAAATGACATTCAGTAAGATTGGAGGAAAAACTATAACATCAAAGGCTAAATGCCATAATTCAGAATCCTAACAGAGGGCTGGGATGAAGGGTATTGCAGGCAGAATGAAGCATCTGAAGCAGCAGAAAGGACATAACAATGGAAAGAAAGGATTACCATGATAGATCGTCTAATTAGTGTCTCAAATATGATATTCATTAAACATAAATACAAATTTGTAAAGTAAGTTAAAAAATGCATTTACTGAGAAGGACATGCTGCTAAGAGAAACACGCTCCTAAGAGAAATGCACTAATGAGAGACATGCGCTCCTGAGAGACACACGCTCCTCAGAGACATGCACTGCTGGGAAAGAGACGCAAGAGACAGGCATTGCTGAGAGAGACACCAAGAGACACGCATTGATGAGGGAGTGGCTGAGAGAGACTGTTGGCTGAGAGACGGTGGGCTGAGAGAGACTGAGTGTTTTTCCTGAACTTGAATCATAGCCTGGTGCTTCCCTAATAAACCCCATAATCTGTGGGAAAAAAAGAAAATGTGTTTAAAAAACCTAAAAATGTTAATGGATGTAACAAGGACCTTTGGAGGATATTAGAGGTAATTTTTTTGAAAACTGTAAAATGAAAGAAGTATTTACCCTGTCTTTTCTATTCAAATTTTTCATCAAGGGAATCTAATATCTGATAGTGAATATTTTAAAGAAGTCTTCAGCAAATAAATGAGAAGTAATGAGGCAACGTCAACATTTTGGTACTTCATGAATTAACAGATCTAGGCAATGATCCTCAAAGGCTGCTAATATCACAAAAAGTGAGACAACAGTCATTATGTGCCTCCTAGTTGAAGTACAGGAGCTCTGAAGCGTAGTGCCTAAGGCACTTGACTGCTAACCAGAAGGCTGGTAGTTCAAACCCATCAGCCACTCCTGGGAAGGAAGGTTGGGCAATCTACTTCTGTGGTGATACTGCCTCAGAAACCCAAGGAGGGGTTGCTATGAGTTGGGTCTGACTTGACGGCACATAACAACAACAAAAACAGTTGAAGTACACAACATCTATATGGAATTCTCACAAAAAAAAAAAAAAGAATCTGAATAAACTGGATTTTACAGGACATGGAACGTACTAAACTAAATGACAGAGATCTAACCAGCAAAATTCAAACGAGTAATTCTGAAAGGCAAGAAACTCAGTTTCTTCAAATAAATGATAAGATAAAGAGAAGGAAATGGAATATAAGACATAAAGATGGGGGCTGGTTATAGATAGATTAAAAGAGACTTAAAAGACCTGTCAACCAAATGGAATATATAAATCTCATTTGATCCTGATTCAAACTATCTTAAAAATATTTATGAGACAATTGAGGAAAAACTTAAGCACTAATAATTGATTTAGAGGTGATAACAGAATTGTGATTACATAAATGTCCTTGTCCTTTAGACAAGTGTGTGTATATATAAATAGATAAAATATGATGCTTGGGATTTGTTATATTTGTTAGGTATATTTTCACCACACACAAAAAAAATATTTTAAAAAGCATATAAGCTGGAAAGGAAGAATTAAAACTGTCTATTCACAGACTGCATAATGAATATGTACAAAATTCAAAAGAACTACTAGAACTCATCAGTGAATTCAGCAAGGCTGCAGAATGTAAATAAATATACAGATATCAGCTATTTCTATATATTATCAACAAACCAAATATGAGATAAAATATTTCATTCATAAGGACATTATAAAACCTAAGAAAAAACAAAGTTGTGAAAAGTCTATATACCTTAAACACTGCAGAACTTAAAGAAGATCTAATAAATAGATACTCGATGCTCATGGATCTGCAGACTCAACAGTCTTACAGTATTCCCTCAAAATTATTCTCTCCAAAGTATTTTCCCTAAATTGATCTACCTATATAGTTAATGCATACCAATAAAAACCCAGCAGGCCTTTTTAATCGAAATTAGCAAGCTGATTGATTCTAAATGTATAAGGAAATTCAAAGGTGGTGTAGTGCCTAAGGCATTTGACTGCTAACCTGAAGGCTGATGGTTCAAACCCACTAGCCACTTCTCAGAAGGAAGGTTGGGCAGTCTACTTCTGTAGTGATACCGCCTCGGAAACCCAAGGAGGGGTCACTATGAGTGGGATCCAACTTGACAGTAGTGAGTTTGGGTTTTCTTTGGTTAGAATAGCCAAAATAATTTTTAAAAAGATCAAAGTCAGAAGACATACTACTTAATTTCAAACACTATAAAGTTACGGTAATCAAGATCAGTACAGGTACAAAGACAGATCAGTGGAACAGAATCGAGTGTCCAAAAATAGATATGTGGTCAATTAACTTTCAATCAAAGTTCCAGGGTAATTCATTCAACAGAACAAGAATAACTGAATACATGAAAAAATGAATTTTTACCTTTACTTCACATTATAAAAGTAACTCAAAATGGATGATATACCTAAATGTAAGAAACCCATTAAACTTTTAGAAGAAAACATAGGGCAAAGTTTTTGAGACTTAGTTTAGGCAAAGTTTTCTTAGCAGTGATACAAAAAGCACACATTCCAAAATAAAAAACTGAAAAATTGGATTTCATCAAAATTTAAAAGGTTTTGAAGATACCATTAAGAAAATGAAAAGGAAAGCCACAAATAGGGGGAGAAAATATTTGTAAACATGTACATGACAAAGTGATACCGCTTCAGAAACCCAAGGAGTAATCGCTGTGGGTCAGATCTGACTCCACGGCAGTGAGTCTGTTTTTTTTTTTTTTTTTATCTGACAAAGTACTTCTATCTAGAATAAATAAAAAACTCTTAAAACTCAACAATAAGAAAACAAAGAACCCATTTGAAAAATGGACAACAGGTTTCAAGAGACATTTTACCAAAGAAGGCATATAAAAGGCTAACAATCATATGAAAAGATGTTCGGTATCTTTGGTCATTAAGGAAATACAAAATATAGCTATGAGATTCCACTAAATGGCCACTAGAATAAGATGACAATACTAAGTATTGGTAAAGATATGCAGCAACTTGCTGGTAAGAATGGAAAATGATAAAGCCATTTTGGAAAACAGATTTTAGTCACAAATGAATGGATACCAGACAATCCAGCCATTTTGTGGTATCTCTGGTACTTCTACTTACCTCAAATCTAAAACCTATGAGATTTCAATCCACACAGTGTCTGGGATGCAGTTACAAAAAGGGAAAAAAGTAAAGCAAAGAGGAGCTTTATGGGCTGCAGTATGCATTCATATTCTCTTTAGTATTTACTAGAGCACAACAGACATTAAAGAAGGAAAAATATACGTGAAAAAATATAAACCTAATATGGGAATTTTAATAAAGATAAAAATGGAAACTAATTCTACATTTTTGATATTTAGTGTGTCATAACCACAATGATCATTTGTTCTTACTCAAAAAAGGAAACTGCTTGGGAGATAAAAAACTAGCATGAATTCTATATAACAATTAATGCTAAAATAAGTGAGCACATCTAGGAATAATTACCATTTGCTGAATATGGGCATCTTGAATTGCTCTGCGTTCTTCAGCAGCTTTGTGTTTTTTCTCCTTTTCGTGCTCCAAAAAAATCTGATCTGCTTTCAGGATATCCAGTAATTGTTCTTTAGCATTTATTTTTCTTTGTATTTCTTCTTCCTGTTTATTTTTCATCTACATATTAAAAGGCAAAGAAAATAAAGTAAAATCAGTTTGAGCAAGCTGTGCTTTCTAATAAGGCTCAGAATTAGAAAGCTCCAAGCAGAAGGTCATCCAAGAGCCATGCAGGAGTAGAAAATTGTATGAAACTTATTTGAGTCCCACATGGACAGTTTACTTTGATTCTGTTCTATTTCCTGAATAGCAGGAAACACCCAATGAAAACATAAGTAGAGTGATTCAGACCAATCTCTAAATTTAAAAAAGAAAACACAGGAACACAAAATAAAGAACTTCTCAAGGTAGAAAGATATTTGTAAGTGAAAGTTAATTGGTACCATGTTTGTAAACTATCCAATTTAAGTGTTAGGACAGTTTTATAGGACATAATTTTTGAAGAAAGAAAAGCAATAGGGTCATTTTGACTTAGTTTGATATTTTAAAATTAAAATTAAAAATCTGTATTACATGAATAACAACCTTTGCAATTTCAGATGGATCTGAAGCAGCAAAGATTACTTTGCATCTATAAATAGCAGTGTTGTAATTGATTATCCTGTCATCTTCTGTTAAAGAGTAAACATGGTTTGATTTCAAGACTATACGAAGATAATTTATACATTGTTATTAAAACTTCTGCCAGGTTTGTCAGGGGGTAGAGGGGTTGAAACCACAGAACAAAGGGTTTAAATCTGTCTTTTCATTTCTAATAACTGAATTGTTTACCACAGTGGCTCTATATTCTGCAATCGCTTTTAATTCTGCTTTGTTTTTTTCATATCTTTCACGTTCTCTTTCTTCCCTTTCAGCCTCAGCTTCTGCAATATCTCTGGCAATAATCAAATCTTCATTGTCAAGTTTCTCTTTTATTAGTTTACTCAAGAAGTCATTAATTCTTTCTCTTCGTTCTTTCATTAGCCTACAACAAAATAAACATAACCTGTCAAATTTTCATGAATAGACTGGTTATGCAGCCAGTTAGGGAGTCTGAGATATTTTATAATCTTGGGAGCTCTGGTAGCATAGTGGCTAAGGCACTTGACTGCTAACCAGAAGGCTGGCGGTTCAAACCCACCAGCCACTCCTCGGAAGGAAGATGGGGCAATCTACTTCCGTAGTGATACTGTCTCGGAAACCCAAGGAGGGGTCGCTATGAGTCGGGTCTGACTCGATGGCACACAATGACAACAATAATAAAAGGAACTCTATTGACTCTTATATGTATTGATTATTTTAAGTAGAAATTATTTTTTAAAAAGTAACATAGTCTAAAAATCCAAACAGAATAATATGCATAGTAAGGTCTTATATACATATGATCTTACTTATACATATAGGAGATAAAATTCTTCATGTTAAAAAATACTTCAAAATATGTTTTAGACTATCATGCTTACTCTAATTTGGAAGCTGAGGCTTAACCCCCACGCAGGCAGGAAGATGGAAGCCAGGGCAGGTGGCTGGAACAGGTAGGAGGAAGGCCAGGAAGTGGGCAGAGACGTTTGGAACAGATAAGGGAGATGAACTTGTCTGTTAGTTTGTCATATTTTGGTGGCTTGTGTGTTGCTGTGAGGCTGGAGGCTGTGCTACCAGTCTTTCAAACACCAGTAGGGTTGCTCATGGTGGACAGGTATCAATGGAGCTTCCAGACTGAGAAAGACTCAGAAGAAGAAAGAGGCCATCCACTTCTCAAAGAACTGGCCAGGAAAAACGTTATGAATAGCAGTGAAACATTGTCTGATACCTTACTGGACAACTTTATGAATAGCTGATACTGTGCTGGAAGATGAGCCCCTCAGGTCGGAAGGCACTCAAAATACGACTAGGAAAATGCTGCCTCATCAGGATAGAACTGACCTTAATGGTATAGATAAAGTAAAGCTTTCAGGACCTCCATTTGCTGATGTGGCATGACTCAAAATGGAAAGAAACAGCTGCAAACATCCATTAAGAATCAGAACACTGAACGTACAAAGTATGAATCTAGGAAAACTGGAAGTTGTCAAAAATTAAATGGAATGCATAAAGATTGATATCCTAGGCATTAGTTAGTGAAATAGACTGGTTTTGGCCAATTCTAATCAGACAACCATATGATCTACTATGCTGGGAAAGACAAACTGAAGAGGAATGGCATGGCATTCATCGTCACAAAGAATGTGTCAAGATTTATCCTGAAGTACAATGCTGTCAGTGATAGGGTAATATCCATACGCCTAAAAGGGAGGCCAGCTAATACTACTATTATTCAAATTTACGCACCAACCACCAAACCCAAAGATGAGGAAATTGAAGATTTTTACCAACTTCT